TTTGGTTGTTGGTATTTCTACTTTATATTATATTAGCAAGCAGAATGTTGTACTGTATTTTACAGGACATACGCAGACGACTGTATTATTGTATTGATTTGATATCATTGGTATGCCTTTGCATATTAATCATGTCAGCGCCATTTAATAATTGTTCATATTTGCATATTATTTTATAATATCCCAGTAATTCGATTGGCCAATGCGGTTTCAACATCTGAAATCATGGCTGACAATATCAACATAGGCCAATATCTCAGTAAGTTTGTGGTTTTACAGTATATTTCTTGGAGGGTTGTGATATGATAATAATTTCAGTTACCAGGTAAAATATGATTGTATTATGCAAGCGCATATAAGTGATGTACAATTTATAATTGTCCTGACTTCAACCTGAGGTAAGAGTAAGTCTAGTGATCATATCTCGGAGATTGTGTAAAGATCACCAACACGTCACAAAAACCGTTAAATATATTTCTTGCTCCTGAAATATACATTATTCTCATGTGGGTAAACAGACGCCCCTAGAGTTCTAAGTAAACCATTCAGTTAGCGAAAACAACTGTTTAAAAAAATTAAATTGCTTTCCCATATTCTTGATATCATATTGTTAGATGCCTTGTGTTCCATCGATTCTTCGTTGTGTGACTGGCAATCTATTATAGAATTCATATTCATACTGTTTGTCAGTTCCGCATATAAATTGTTATTCAAACATCTATACTGCGTATTGTTCTTTGTGTGAGTCTGGCACGAGATATCAAATACAATATGTCAGGTATTTTTGGCAATAAAATTAATACCTTTACATTGGCTAAAAAATCAATTCACGTTTGCACAGACGTATCAAATAAGGACGTCAATATTTTTTTAACTTCATTATTTAAAGTTTGTATAGAGTATTGACGTATGGATTTCCCTTTTGTTACATACCCATACTTTAATATCAATTTTGCTAATGTTTTATTTACCTTATGAACCAATATCACGACTACAAGTAAGACACACAAGCAGATGCAAACTTTTGAAATGACTTTAGGCAGTTCCATTTCGCTATACACCCATGCACAATCCAATGAATTGATAAGCATTTGAATATTCGTCTTTAAAATTGATAATCGAGTCTACAATTAATAAACCTGGTGGAATATTGTGAGTTTTCTTTCCATTTTGTTGTTTAACGCCAGCTTTCCTTTTCAATTTTACATAAATTGATTTTAATTGGTAATGTTTGATTTTAATGCATTTGTAATAGTATTTAGACTTTATTCTTGGCCTCTGACTTTGTGTACAAACATTGAATATTTTTTCGCATTTGCATAATAAGTATGCTATGACTTTCTTTAACACTTTGTTGTCTATTGTGTTTTTATTTGATGTAAACTTTGCTTTTGTATCGCCTTTGTAAACACTCAACAAAGAACATAAAATAGACAGACTGACTCCTGGTTTATATAAATATTTATTTCGCTGCTGACTAACAGATTAGTGTGGTTAGAGCGCCACCAAGGTAATGCTCCTCCCCGGTGGAGTACACGCAGTATGGAAATAACGAAACAATTAACACACAGAATGTGGGTAACACTGGGTGATTTTGCATATAATTTATATTCTCCAATTTGATTTAAGATAACTAGAGAACTATTATTATAATCTGAGATTACTAATATATCAATTCCGTTTATTATTAAGTATGCGTAGATAGGAGTATTTCGTACATTTCACAAGCAAGTGTATGAAGACGAGACAGGACAAATATTTAGACAGGTATTTTCATCGAGTTGTGTATATGTGTATATATGTATAAATTTAAGTAAATTAAAGACAAATAAAGCCCCAGGACCAGATGGTATACCCACAGAATTTTGGAAAAATGCTCCCATAGAAATCCATGAAATATTATTTGTTTTATACAACAAGGTATTTGACCAGGGAATCTTTCCTGATGAATGGGGTAGGGGATTAATATCGCCTGTATACAAGAAGGGAAATAAGGATGACCCCGGTAATTATAGGAGTATTATGTTATTAAACGT